CATGGACAGCCTCTCTCTCTGATGGCCTCTCATCCTGACGGCCTCTCTCTCATGGACAGCCTCACTCTCTGATGGCCTCTCATTCTGACGGCCTCTCTCTCTGATGGCCTCTCATCTTGACAGCCTCTCTCTCTGATGGCCTCTCATTCTGACAGCCTCTCTCTGATGGCCTCTCATTCTGACGGCATCTCTCTGATGGCCTCCCATTCTGACATCCTCTCTCTGATAGCCTCTCATTCTGACAGCCTCTCTCTGATGGCCTCTCATTCTGACGGCCTCTCTCTCTGATGGACTCTTATTCTGACAGCCTCTCTCTATGATGGACTCTTATTCTGACAGCCTCTCTCTCTGATGGCCTCTCTCTGATGGCCTCTCATTCTGACAGGAGTATTGAGGCTGTTCAATCTCCTGATTTAACTGTGCAGGTAGAGGGTCAGTAACTGCTGAGTGGCCAGGCTGGAAAGGACAATCAGTGTAATCTATCCTTGGACCATCTCAGACACAGTATTTAAATTTATCGGCGAGGAGCAATGTCAGTCCAGCTCCCCGCGGATACACTAGCGAGCAATCTGAGTGCCGACATCAAACACATTGAAAACATCATTAATGTTGCCAGACTGCTAACTGCTATTAAAGTAGCACTGTCATGGCCGCATCCGTTTTTTTTGTTTTTTTAAATCCCCCCTTCTGACTGCAATACGTTGTATTGTGCCCCTAGTCACACCCAAATTCCCCTAGGCTCCCCATTTTACCTTTTTTTAGTAACTTTATTTTATGCCCAGTCCTAGGTCCTGGGCACCACCATCTTTGTGTGGGCAGATGAAGGCTGTGGGACACATCATCTGCCCACTCTATATAGCGCTATGAAATTCCCGCAGTGCTCCCCACCACTTCCTAACTCCCCCCATTCCCCCAGTCATCCTATGATGGTCAACATGACCCCGACTAGGCATAAGGGAGATTAAAATCTCCCAAATGCACCTACTCGCAATGCCGTTGAGTAGGGGCATGTCTACTAAACAGTGAACAGCTTCTCTTTTTTTTCAGCCCCAAAAGAGGCCATATAAAAATCCATTATTCTCGTAGAATTTATAAAATAAAAGAAAACTCGGGCGCAGAAAAAAGAAAAACCGGACGATAAGAGTGCTCTGATTTTGATAAATTTTAAGACTTGCCTGATTGGTAACTTGCAATGCTTGAATTTACCTATCAGAGTTTAAACCAACCAATCAGAGTGCTCCGAGTTAAACTGCAGGTCGTGGGAAGGCTTTTTAAGCCTTTCCCTGCCCTGCAGAGCTCAGTGTGCGCCGTGCCCTCGTTGGGTGAAGATGGATTATTCTTTTTATCGGCTGGTTTTTCTGGCATGTTTTTTATTTTGCTCTTGGGTTTTTGTTTTTTTCGATGGGAATAATGGATTTTTAGTTCGCTTTTTGGGGTCTGAAAAAAGGTGTAAGAAAAAAGAAGACATCTAATGGTAAGTATGGATTTTTATTTTCATTTACAGGTGTTTAGGTTTTTGTTCCCCCCTCACTATTTTTAGGGTGAGGCGGGTAGGCAGGGTTTAATTTTATTTGGGTGGGGCTGACTAGGGGCTTTGGAATCCCTAGTCACCTTTGGGGGGGGTTACATTTAGTCCCCACCTGTCACCAATGGGTGAAGGCTGAGGACGAACGGACAATAGCCCCCCCCTCCTTTTTGTTACTTTTGGCCCCCACCCGCTGCTCATGTTCTGACAGCCTCACTTGGCCCCTATCTGCCGCTCATGGGTGGGGTTGGAGAGGTGGAGACAATAGGTCGCCCCCCTGCTTTTGTCACTTAGGGCTTCACCTGCCACTCATGGGTGGGGGCAGGAGGGGAGGAAACAATAGGTCCCCCCTTCATTTTGTTACTTTTGGTCTCCCCCCGTTTTTGTAATTTTTGGCCCCCACCCGCCGCTCATGGGTGGGGGCCGGAAGGGGGGGAGACAATAGGCCTCCAAGAGTAACCTCTACCTCACATACCTGTCTCTCCTATAGGGCTGCACTTTACTCTCTCCTCCAGCTCTGCTTCACTCCCACCTAATATGATTGCTATTTCCTCTCCTATTGTGTTTTTCATCTCACCTCCTATAGACTGTAAGCTCGTTTGAGCCTATTGTTCCTGTAAATTTTCTTGTAATTGTCCTATTTATAGTTAAATCCTCCCTCTCAAAATATTGTAAAGCGCTAAGGAATCTGTTGGCGCTATATAATTGGCAATAATAATAAAGTACACACACACAAATATAGTATAAAATACTACAATGCTACTGAAAATAACTTTTTAGCAAATTAAAGGACCACTATAGTGCCAGGAAAACATACTCATTTTCCTAGCACTATAGTGCACCCTCAGGGTCCCCCTCCCGCCGGGCTGGATGGCGAGGAAAGGGGTTAAACTTACCTTTTTTCCAGCGCCGGGCGGGGAGCTCTCCTCCTCCAATCCTCCTCTTCGGCTGAATGTGCATGCGCGGCAGGAGCTGCGTGCGCATTCAGCCGGTCTCATAGGAAAGCATTTAAAATGCTTTCCTATGGACGCTGGCGTTTTCTCACTGTGATTTTCACAGTAAGAAGCACGCAAACGACTCTAGCGGCTGTCAATGAGACAGCCACTAGAGGCTGGATTAACCCATTTATAAACATAGCAGTTTCTTTGAAACTGATATGTTTATTAAAAAAAAATGGGTTAACCCTAGCTGGACCAGGCACCCAGACCACTTCATTAAACTGAAGTGGTCTGGGTGCCTAGAGTGGTCCTTTAATATTGGGATTATACCATATAACCATGTGACAAATGCTCCTTCCCACAAACATTTGCCACGGACTCCTGGAGGAGTGTAGAAGCCAGCCTCCTGCCCACCGACTATGGTCCAGGTCTGAGATACCTTTTGGCAGTTACACTGCCCAGCCGCCATTAGTAGATTTCCCTGGATACCCATGGTTCAGCACTTTCCCTTCATGCGAATGGAGCCGAATGTTGGCTCTTTGGAGGCCTTTCGCATGAACCACACCCACAAATGGTCCTCAGCGGTACTTAGCCGCGACCGCTATGGAACTAATTTCAGCATGAGGACTTCGTGGGTTCCCGGTCACCTCCGCGGGACGTAGCCGCGAATGTTATGGAACTCTTTTTTGGCATGAGCTAATCGTGCTGTTCCCGAACAGCTTGGTCCAGGGTTTTGAACCACTTTGAAATCAGCCAGGAGAGCGCATTTTGGAGGAAAGGTGCCTGAGACTAAGGGGAACAAATGCTACCTAAGAGCCAGCCGGAGCACACCATATTACGGCCGCAGGAGCTCCCAAAAGTTGACGGGCAAACGCACCAAACGCCCTGGAACTATTTTGGGTATAGAACCACGTGTGCGGCAGAACTTTAACAGGTCAGAACTTTAACACGGCTTTTCCCTATGTGACAAAATGCCTTTTGTCACTGGATTGTTAGGTGACAAGCTGCCCTTTGCCCACGGCTGTTGGAGGAGCCTGATTGCCAGCCTCCTTCCTCATGACTATGGCCCTGGGGTGTGTTGCCATTTTAAAAGACTATTTCAGGCTTATTGGCTTCTACAGACTGTTTCTGCCCATTTGAATCCATGGGAAGGTGTGTTTCTTCCCCTCCCTCGTTTCCTGTCTATTGTTCTCCAGCAGGGCGTTGTCCCAGGCACACTGCCAAACCAGTTGGAACTGACTGCTTTTGTCCCTCCTTGGTTTCTCAACAGCCCTTGCTATGCTTTACCCCATGGCAAATTTCCTCTGTTCATGGGATCTGAGCGCTGTTCACCTAGATTGGGCACTCAGATCCGAGCTATCTGGGGATAGGATAATTGTGGGGGTTCTGTGTAATATAATAAGAATTATGTATTTTTATGTACTTTTACGTATTTTTGCTGTTAGTGTAAAATGTAAATATTTTCTGTACCTGGAGATAATTGAGTTTACTGCAGTGCCTTAAGCCAATTATCTCCAGGACGGAGAGGAGGGATTTCATTGTATAGGTGGGAGTGTTATGTTAATTAGTGTTCCCATTGGTTTGTGTCCCTTTGTCACAGTTTACTACCAGGTCCAGGGGGTGTGCCTCTGGCCTGAAAACTTGTATATAAGGAGTAATAAATGCTCATTGGAGTCAGATCATCTTGTACCTTCATGAAGTTTCGGTTCATGTTTGGGGGATTGGAGAACTACACTCTGGGGATCGCTATAATCACTATACTCCCCAGGGTATGATCACTAAGCTCTGCTAAGAACTTGTTCCTGTTCCTGCTCTCTGGAATTCGGAGAGGTCAACCTACTGGAAGCTGGAATCTGGTCTTGGGTCCAGAGTGGGTGGAGACGGCGAGACCCCAACCAAGCTGCGGCAGTTCGTGGGGTCTGCATTGGTTATGGTGTCAGGTGGAGTGCTTGGAGACCTCGGAAAGCACTAGGAGTATCTGTCAGCGGAAGATACCCGGTCGGGGTGCCAGCGGTTCTGTTACACCCTACACTGCATGGATCTGAGCACTATTTGGAGAACTTGGGCGCTCAGATCAGGACTATTTGTGGATGTATTATTTGTGGGGTTATTTTATGTTTTTATGATGTTTGGGGGTATTTTTATGTTTTTGTGTTTGCCTCTCTGTTCCTGGGAGAGACTTAGCTTACCACCTTTAATGCAATTATCTCCCAGGCCCAGAGATTCCTGGGAGGGGCTTGTGTGGAATACAATGGAGACCTCCTCCTGGGGTCTGTGTATAAAATGCTGAGTTTGGCTCATTAAAGTCAGTTGTACTCCCAGAACTATGTGTCATCTAGTTACTGAGAGGGGAAGGGCTATAATCACTGCTCAGCACCTTGCTCCAGCTCGTGAAGTATTCCCAGGACTATGTGTCGTGGCTCTGAACTATACATGTTGTTACGGTATAACCTAGGTATCGAAGGTTAATACCGAATGAGGGATTCACCTCAATACGGGTATAGCAACTCACGAACGCTTCAATTAACCGAACTGGAAAAATATACAAAATCCTTCGCTCCTTTATACGGGACCAGCAACTCACAAATACTCCACTTTCCCGAATAGAGAATCATACAAAATCCTTCTCTCCTGGAACAGGCAAAAGAATAATCCAAAGTAGCAATCCCCCCCAAACACGAGACCAAGCTCTGTCTTGAGGGTAAAACATGAATCTGATTTATTGAGGGCTACATGCCCGGTATTTATGCAGGTCTCCCACCTAGTGGACACTCCCCTAGGGGACCAGATGGAAGACTGGGACAAGTATGGTACAATAGCCAATCACAGTGGCTCAGGCATAAACACTCCCCTTTGTACAAGCAAACCGCTCCTCTCTATCCTGGAGATAATTCGGAAGAAATCCAATTTTCTCCATGGATAGAGGCAAAACGCCATTTTAAATGATACAATAAAAATACATAAAATTCAATAACTGTAAAACTACCGAATGTATTCAGTACATATAACGTATCCCCAGATAGCCTAGATCTGAGCGCACATTATTACCGAATGGCACTCAGATCCAATATACACAGTTCAATCGCCATGGAGACAAAGTCTTTCACACTGTTCTTTCTGTATACGAATAGCTCCATGGGATGGCTATCTGGGTTAAGTCCATTCGTGAAATAAATGTCCCTAACAGACCGGTGTTCGTATGTCAGATGACAAAGAAGGGAGATTGGCGGTTTCAGCGGTGTTCGGGAGAAAAGGTTTCAGTTTTGGGTTCCATAAGATTGTCAACGAACACCGCTGTTTATCCGTGCATCTAAGATGGCCGACAGCTCGTGGTCGGAATACGAACGACGACCACCCAGCATACGGTTTCAATTAAGAGGTGTCTGCGGTTAACCACAGTGTTCTAATTGAGGCCAATAGGTTAACGAGCAGCACACTTCTCTTATGGGTGGCCGGCCGTTCTACAGTTTGTTCGGTAGATTAAAAAATAAATGAACGGGGAAGTACGGCCAGGCAATTACACAAATCAAACGGGATAGCAATATAGTTCTAAGACAGAGGGATCTGTCACACATGTATTTCATCCACATAAAAGGATCTCTGGATACTGTGATGGCTTCTCTGGAGCATGAACGTGATGGTACCATCCAGTTAAAACGGGAACAAAATAAAAAAGTGTAAAATATACCTTTATTACAATATCTTTAAAAGGATAAAAGATTAGGTGCATCAAAATATATAATCATTTATGGCTGTATTTTTTCCCTCCAAAATAGGAACAATGCATTACAGTTGAGAAAGGCATTACATAACTTCCACACCCAAATATGGTTCGGACTGGATGTAAATCGCCACCCATAAGCTGGTGATGTTTCGGGGTGTTTTTTTTGTCCGAACAGTGTCTATATGCCACCTTCAAGATGGCTGAATGTCAGGTTTCAATCGCGTCCTTACAGTTCTCCAATATGGCGTTGCGCTCACTTCCTGTTACGCACGTAAGGTATTGTGACCTTTTCTCAGTTGTCTGCGCATCAGGTTCCAGTCCTGCGCACATGTGTTCCTACTCACAATATGTCGGCAATCTTTCCTTACGTAGTGCATGTTTGCGTATGTATTCACTCCTCCGTCTGCTTTTCAGCTTCATTGCCCCGACCACAGGCATAAGAAAGTTGGTTTCCTGCATAACAAAGTGTCATAGAGGTATCCAGCCTTATACTGCGTCCCTATAATTAGTTTTTAGTATATTGTGGGCATATTGCCCCAAACCAAAATGGTATTTGCTGACAAGTGTATAGAGAGACAGATTATGGGGCGGGATGCATCAAAGACTCTTTGGTATGCAGGACAACCTATTTTCATATGTATGTTGGAGGGGCAATGAAGCTGAAAAGTAGACGCAGGACGGAACCTGGTCAAACTATCCATAATGACCCCTTTCCACCGCCGAAAGCATCTTCAATGGGTATGTGAGCATCAGAACTGGACCATAAAGCAATGGAAGAAGGTTGTCTGGTTTGTTGAATTACGGTCTCTTTTAGATCATGTGTAACCAGGTTCGTTTGCGTAGTTTACCTGGGGAAGAGCTAGCAGCAGGATTCATTATGAGAAGAAGGCAGGCCAGCGGAGGCAGTGTAATGTTCTGGGCAATGAAGAGCCCTCACGTGCTGTAGTGAGAGAGTGAAATAGTCTGACTACCCGACGTACGATTCTGTTCCATGCCCGACCTGTCGAAATTCGTGTAGGGGTTCCTGGTATACACGCCACCTACAAGGTCCCTGTACCCCTGACTGTCCGGGCACGTATCTCCCAGAGTAGGCCCTAGGTCAAGGGACCCAGGAATGTGATTTTGATAATTGAAGTCAAAGTTTCCCTATAGAGGGATACCTCCCTTCTTAGCTTGGAGTCCCGCGAACACATAGCGTTCACCAATACGCAGGCAAGGCGTAAAGTCCCTTCGCTCATGACAGGTGACTCCAGAGAGCAGATATAGCGAAAAAAGAAGGGTCTAGCTTCAGCCATCCGACACGTGTTGTCCCGTTTGAGAATGTCGGCAGCCATGAGTCTGCTACACATCCTGAGCCGTACTCCAGTGGTAGGTTGTGACCCGACTTTGACGTCTGTGTACGAGTCGGGGCACACCAGGTTCCTCCATAGAGTCTTGTAGGTCTCCTTGATGGTAGTTGAAAAGGTGGGTTAGCGCGAACCCAAACCAACATGGCCCTCCATCCCCGAACCATGTTCTCCAGGTATGTGCTCAGAGGAGCAGGGGCAGTCCTGCCATCTTATCCCAAGATTGATGAATGACCAGGGAACAAAAGACAACCGGGGTTTCCGGTCTTACCATGCGATCCATGCGTATGGTGTACTTTCAGACCGGGTAGTAGGCCTTTCCTAGTCTTGTTACCTGAGCAAGGCAGTGCCCGTTTGCTCCATGAAGGTCTCCGTATCTCATGTCATCTTGATATGGGAAAAACTGTCTGCGCAGTTTGTTCGCAATGGTCCGGATATCCAAAATAGAATGCAATTCTCTGTTTTATATAGCGCAGAATATACCAAAACCTGCACTCTTGTAATATCTGAGGCTTATCCGTTAGCTGTACCGTCTCCAGGAGTTTGGGTAAATAAGTGGGAGTCTCCCCCCGTTATACCTCTGTGAGTATTTCTCATATGTGGTACAGTGGTCCGGATCCAATAGATCCATTACAGGAGATAAAATAGAGGGATCCAGTCTAAATTCGTATATCCTGCATGATCAGGCAGCCCTCTATAACGAAATCAGTAGCACGGTCGTTAGATCTAATTGAATGCAGGAGGATCTAAAAAAATACACTTATAATTAATCGAGGTCTTGTACAGGTACAGGCCTGTGTGATGAACAAATGGACGGCACCATAGAGCGTTGAGTGTATGAGAGCCGCACTCTCTAATGTGACCGAATTCCGTGTCAGCATCCGGCTGATAGCCTGAGCGGGCCGCACGCGTTAATAACCAAACAGTAGAGTCTACATCCGTGACCGGTTCTCTCTATGAGAATGTGTCACTCCAAACATGTCCTCTGTATCCAGCTCAGTATCGGGCTGAGGTTGAGGGAGAGCCACGCCCTCTAATAACAAATCAGTGTCCGGTTCTGTATATGAGAGGGGTTCGCTCTCTGTTCCTGAAAATAAAATATAATTCTCAGATCGAGGTGATGGAGAGCCGCACCCTCTTGTGATCCAAACTAGAGTCCCTTAGAGACTCCTTAGGTGGGTCTCTCCCCGACCACGAGACCTCTCTGAATCGCTCACCTGAAAAGAAATCAGCTTGTAGTAAACCAGACCGATGGCAGATGGGATAGTATACAACCTCGGGCCGTGTCCATTATAAATAACAGAAAGGGATGGTGCGGAAATGCAACCTGCGGAAACAATGATGGAAACTACCAACTGACCGCCCGGATCCCGTGCGCGCATACACGCGGGGTCCAGGATGACCGTCGGTAGCCTGAGGAAAGCTGGAGACATTCTCTGCAATCCACGAGTTCCCGGGAGGTCGGAGAAGGTCAAGTCAGGCCTCTCGACGACCCGAGCGATAGGAAAAGGAAGGCACGAAAACAAAAACAATAATAAATGTAGATAAGGGTAAATACGTTAATTCTAACTCAGATAGAAGGCAAATAGCAGGCCGGAAGGCAAGTCCAGTAAGCCCCACTGAACAGGGCCAGGAGCTAACCTTACGCAGGAATAACTACCGATATCTAGATGGATACCGGGAGGCAGTTAGAGGGTTAGTTGTTAAAGACAAGGAAGCACTGTGTCCCCCTGTAGGCGTCTGAGTACCGGTCCCTGCCTGTGCGAAGTTCTCCTTGGAGATGTGCCGGGCTGTTGTAAACCGTGGATGTGTGCCCGGGGTCTTCATAAGAAACCTTGCCCTTCAGGCATGCGGTTTAGGGACTTCACCCTTCCCACCATACTCAGGTGGCCGTATACTGGAGTCCTCTTGAATAGTATGGCAACGGTGCTTGCCTGGACACCTGCCTATCTCCATGTCACTAGTGGGTACTGGGTTTTCCTCAGTGATATTCCCCCAGGGCTGCGGCCAAAAGGGGCTTCGGCACCGATAGAGCAGGCCCGTCAGAAGGGCACCGGCCCACCAGGCCAAACGAATGGGCACAGACATAGCAGTCCATTCAAATAGGCACAGACATAGCAGGCCATTCAAATAGGCACAGACATAGCAGGCCAATCAATGGGGCACAGACATAGCAGGCCAATCAATAGGGCACATACATAGCAGGCCAATCAAAGGGGCACAGACAGAGCAGGCCCGTGATAGCGTTCTGACAGCCGTAGGGCCCATCTGCATGTGTAGACTCCACTATATATATATATATATATATATATATATACATATGTGTGTAATAAAACAGGGAAACCTTGGGTTAAATAATTTTAATATGTAAAACCCACTAGCAAGGTAGTAATGTGATTATAACAGTATTTTTACATAATACCTCTGGATAAAGTTGCTATAATGTCTCCAGTCTAATATCACATGTGTTACAGCTACTAGTGATGAAGTGCTATACCACTATACAGGGAACTGGCAGACTTTACTATTTGGCCAAAGGCAGAAAACCAAACTGCAGGCATCTCAGAGCAGTACAGGGTGTACTGCCTAAAGCCTATTCTCCAGCCCAGCAAAATATTTATATAAAATTATATAAATGTGGAGTCCTCTTGGCATATAGATTTACCCTGAGCAGGGTGAAGGGCCCTCATCTGATATAAAAAAAATCCGGCCGTGACCGGAATCCGGCCTTGATTGACAGAGGGGTGGAAAGCCCCTCAAACAGACCGAGCGGTCGCACCCTCACCCGCCCGGTCGGACAAATGCGGCCTTGAGCTCCCCTGCGACCGGAAAAAACACACACAGGACCACCGAAGATGAACTCTGCGGTCCCGGAGCTTGGGGATCGAAGGAGGCAGATGCAGTCAGCCTCCTGAAGCCCCCGAGCGGCGCACACAGACACCGCCAGACATAAGGACAAAGACGGAACAAAAAATATAACAACGAGCATACACAAAGTTGGGAGACAGACAGGGAGGACAAAGCCAAGGGGATAGAGGAGACAGGAGGACCCCAAAGACCCCCCAGAAATCCAAACTAAATATGTATATAACAGTGATAGCCTGAAGTTACAAGTAAAAAATAAAGTCCCACAGGGGTTTACACAAAACTGCATGTGTAAGGAAAAATTTACACATGGACCAAGGTAATACTGCATATAAAATGAATCCCACAAGGCCTAAATAAAAAATTCTGAAAAGATATTCAATATATAAGCATAAAATCCCACATGGATTATAACAATACTGTATTAAAAAATAAAATCCCACATGGATTATCACAATACAGCATACAGGAATAAAATCATACAAGGATTAAAAAAAATACTGCATTTATAAGGTTAAAATACTGAATATATGCAATAAAATCCCAAAGTCCCCACTATAAGCAGGAGGCAGTGGTACTCTGACCTGTACTGACTGCGGAGCAGCAAAGAAAAAGGCAATGATGCATGGGGAGGGGAGTTTTATAGAACCTAACTTTTTTCTGATTGGTTGTTTTTCTGTGCTGCTGTGGAGTTCTAGTAAAGAGAGACTTAAGCAAATACGAAGCCTCCTGTCATGTTATAAAATTAAGTAATTTTACTGATTGCAATTTGAGGGACCTGCCTGCCAACCCAGGCCGAAAGTCCAGAGAATTTAATTTGCTAGCACTGTATTTTACCCTGGAACGGTCTACGACACCCTAAAACCTGTACATGGGGGGTACTGTTTTACTCGGGAGACTTCGCTGAACACAAATATTAGTGATTCAAAACAGTAAACCATATCACAGTGATGATATTGTCAGTGAAAGTGACTTTTTTGCATTTTTCACACACAAACAGCACTTTTACTGATGATCTAATTGTTGTGATACATTTTACTATTTTGAAACACTAATATTTGTGTTCAGCAAAGTCTCCTGAGTATAATAGTACCCCCATGTACAGGTTTTATAGCGTTTTTTGAAAGTTACAGGGTCAAATATTTTTACATTGAAAATGGCCAGGTTGGTTAAGTTGTCTTTGAGAGCGTATGGTAGCCCAGGAATGAAATTTATCCCCATGATGGCATACCATTTGCAAAAGAAGACAACCCAAGGTATTGCAAATGGGGTATGTCCAGTCTTTTTTAGTAACCACTTAGTCACAAACACTGGCCAAAATTAGCGTTCAATTTAGTTTTTAACTTTTTTCACACACAAACAAATATGAACGCTAACTTTGGCCCGTGTTTGCGACTAAGTGGCTACTAAAAAAGTCTGGACATACCCCATATTGAATACCCTGGGTTGTCTACTTTTAAAAAAATATGTACATGTGGGTTTTTATTCAGAGATTTATGACAGATAATAGTGTTACAATATCACTATTGATAAATTTAAAAAATGTATGAAACTGCAATATCCTACTTGTACTTATAGCCCTATAACATGCAAAAAAATTGCAAAAAAGCATGTAAACACTGGGTATTTTTAAACTCAGGACAAAATTTTGAATCTATTTAGCAGTTTTTCTCATTCGCTTTTGTAGATGAGTAAAAGATTTTTCACGTAAGAGTAAAAAAACATGTATTGTTTTCAATTTTTCATCATAATTTTTTCATTTTTTTAAAATTAAATTACATGAGATTAGAGATTATATAAATAATGGTATGTAAAGAAAGCCCCTTTTGTCCTGAAAAAAACAATATATAATTTGTATGGGAACAGTAAATGAGAGAGCGGAAAATTACAGCTAAACACCAACACCACAAAAGTGTAAAAAGATGCCTGGTCGCAAATGTACAACATCGCAAAAACAGTCCGGTCCTTAAGGGGTTAAAGAACATTAATGTAAATAAAGCTCCGGAGCCTGACAGTATTCACCCACGAGTACTTAGGGACCTAAGTGGGGAAATAAGTGAGCCTCTGTATTTAATTTTTCAAGATTCTTTTGTTTCAGGTGTAACGGATCACCTGGCACCCCGACTGGGTACCTCCGTTGAAGGATGCTCCTAGTGCTTCCTGAGGGCTCCAAGCACTACATCATAACCACCGCAGACCCCACGAACCGCCGCAGCTTGGTTGGGGTCCCGCCGTCTCCTACCCACCCTGGACCTACGACAAGGCTCCGGGTTCCAGTGGGTGAACCTCTCCTCCAAGAGAGCGAAGCAGGAACAAGCTATTAAAAGAGCTTAGTAGTGATTATCCAATGGAGTATGATGCTCATAGCAATCCCTTGTAGTGATATAGCAATTCCCCCAATAAGAGACAAGACTCTAGATTGAGGGTTAAGCAGGAACAGAATGCACTGAGGCTTTATTGCTTCTTATATACACATTTCCCCACAAGGTTACCACCCATGTGGACCTTGTTAGGCACTGAAAAGACAAACTCAACAACCAATAGTTTACAGTCACACAGATAAACACTCCCATTCATTACAGTAAATTCCTCCCCTCTGCTTGGGAGATAATTGAGTTAATTGCTGTATCATCTCAACTATCTCCAAGCGAAAAATATACTTTTTACACATTATCTATAACTGCTAAATTATACATCACATTCCAATAAAAGTTACATTTTCTGAACCAGCATAATTAGGGAACAAACATATCCCAAAATCATATGAATTGGTCCAGTGGTTCGGGAGATAGCTGGAAGTCTCCTTTGACCGCCCCACATTTTCATGCTCAAAACAGTTTCACAGATTTGGGCTGTGCGGCCGGTCTATTCACCATAGTTAAATACTGTTCAAATGCACAAACAGAGGCCGTTCGTGCAAATAGGCAAGGTTAATGTGGCGTTCATATAGTCGAACGTCAAAGTCACATAGAAGGTAGAAGTTCAGCGGTGTTCGTGCCGTCGCGTATCTGATTTTAGTATATGTGCTGCCGAAGTTAGTCGTCACATCAGGTATTGTAACGGAGGATTGGAGGAAGGCAGATGTTGTTCCTATATTTAAAAAGGGTTCAAAATCCTTGCCTGGAAATTATAGACCTGTGAGCTTAACTTCTGTGACTGACAAAATATTTGAAGGGCTATTAAGGGATAATATTCCGGAATTTATTGGGAAGAACTTTGTTATTAGCAATAATCAGCATGGTTTTATGAAACATAGGTCATGTCAAACGAACCTAATTGCATTCTACGAAGAAGTAAGTAGAAGTATAGATTAGGGTGTTGCAGTGGATGTGATCTACTTGGATTTTGCCAAGGCATTTGATACGGTTCCTCACAATAGGTTAGTCTTCAAACTAAAAGAAATTGGTCTAGATGATCCTTCTTATTCTTGGGTAGAACATTGGCTTAAGGATAGAGTACAACGAGTTGTCATTAATGGTACATTTTCAGGCTGGACAAAAGTGGTGTCCCTCAGGGTTCTGTTTTGGGACCGCTTCTATTTAATATATTTATAAATGATCTTGAAATAGGCATTGAAAGCCATGTTTCAGTGTTTGCAGATGACACAACACTTAGTAAAGAAATAAAATGTGGGCAGGATATTGCTTTGCTGCAGAGGGATTTGGATAGATTGGGGGACTGTGCACTAAAATGGCAGATTAAATTTAACACAGAGATCCCGAAATCCCAGTAGATCGTGGTTAGAATCAAGCGCTGCTTTGTTCGCATACCCAAACATCAGTCGAGACTTGATGAAGGGTACAACAGGAATGTTTTATTATGGCCAGATGGCCCACTTATATACACAGACCCCCCAGCATGGGGTCTCCAGCAGTAACATAGTAAAACACTCCCACAACACGCCCAGAGGTCTCTGTGTCTGGGAGATAACTGAGTGTACTTTGCTTAAACTAATTATCTCCCAGGCACTAGATTTACAAAATATAAAATACCCCAAAATACATATAACATACATAGGAACCACCACAAATATTATATGCCTGGATCTGAGCACCCAACATATCCAAGCAGAAGTATAGATTAGGGTGTTGCAGTGGATGTGATCTACTTGGATTTTGCCAAGGCATTTGATACGGTTCCTCACAATAGGTTAGTCTTCAAACTAAAATAAATTGGTCTAGATGATTATTCCTGTTCTTGGGTAGAACATTGGCTTAAACGACCACTACATACTCGTTTTCCTGGCACCATAGGGTCTCTAGTTCCCCCCCTTCCTTAGGGTCCCCCTCCCGCCGGGCTCTAGGGTGTAGAAGGAGTTAAACACATACCTTTTCTCCACCGCCGGGCTCCCTCGGCGGTGGGGACTCTCTGCCTCCTTTCCCTGTCATCGACTGAATGCGTATGCGCAGCAAGAGAGGGCTGCTTTACAGAATAGTCGGGAGGATATGTTCTGGGACCGCCCCAACTACTACCAAACAGTTCGTAGTACCCAGGAAGTATAGGCAGGAATTATTAAAAAATAGCCCGCAACATTTCCCTAGCTGGGCATCTGGGGGTAAGTTGTACTAAACATCGGCTCACCCAAAGCTTCTTCTGGCCAGGCATCTCAAAAGATCTGAGACAATATTATCAGTCTTGTGATGTCTGCCAGAAGGTAGGGAAGAGAGGGGACAGGCGCAGGGCCAAGCTCCATCCCCTCCCAGTCATTGAAGACCCATTTGGCAGGTTAGCTGTCGACATCATAGGACCCCTGGCTAAGCCTAGTCCCTCTGGCAAGAAATACATTCTGACCATTGTGCACTACGCACTACATAATATTCAAGCCGAGACTGTAGCTGAGGCGCTGATGCGAGTCTTCTCTCACGTGGATTTCCCACAGGAAATTGACTCGGATCAGGGCACCCAGTTTATGGTTGAAATGGCCCACCAATTGTGGAGGTTATGCGGCATTAAACCCATCCTGAGTTCCCCCAGACTAATGGCCTGTGCAAGCGTTTCAATGACATGTTAAAGCAGATGCTTTGTACGTTTGCAGCGACTCGCAAGGACTGGGAAGGATTCCTGCCGCATCTCCTGTTCGCTTATCGGGAGGTGCCACAGGAATCTACAGACTTCTCTCCATTCTACCAATGTTATCAGTCCATACTCTGGGTAGGGAGTCTGACGCATATTAACATGCTTGTGACGAGGTGCCCTTCGCCACTTGTTCTTGGAGAGGACTAATGGCTAGCCTTTTGCCCTGTGACTATGGCCCTGGTGTGTATTGCCCTTTAAGAACCCTATTGGGGCATATTGAGACTTGGCACAATTCCCCTTTTAAACTGTTGAAGTGGAATTTCGAATTACCGAACAGCTGGACCGCAGCCAATTTACCTCCCAGGCTGGTGGTTAACCGCAAGCTAATTGACAAATGGCTGGGTGGTGGTTGTTTAGCCGAACGCTGTCAGCGGTGTTTTGCCATCGAGCTCATGAAACTAAAATCGGATACACGATGGCACGAACACAGCTGAACTTTTACCTTCTCTGGAAGTTCGAAGCTTCGTCAGGAGTCGAATGACGTTCGACAATACGAACGTCACATTAACATTGAGGTCCCCGTTCGTGCATTTGAACAGTATTTGAAGTATGGTGAATAGACCGGCCGCACAGCCCAAATCTGTGGAACTGTTCTGGGCATGAAAATGGACGTGCGGTGGGTCAACTATCTCCCGAACCACTGGACCAATTTGTATGATTTTTGGATATGTTTGTTCCCTAATGATGCTCATTCAGAAAATGTAAGTTTTATTGAAATTGCATGTATAATCTCTAAGTTAAAAAAATTGTGTAAAAAGTGTATTTTTCGCTTGGAGATAATTGAGTTGATACAGCAATTAACTCAATTATCTCCCAAGCAGAGGGGAGGAATTTACTGTAATGGATGGAAGTGTTTAACTGTGTAACTGTAAATGATTGGTTGTTGAGTTTGTGTTTTCAGTGCTTAACAAGGTCCACGTGGGTGGTAACCTTGTGGGGAAAAGTGTATAAAAGAAAAAATAAAGCCCCAGCTCAGTCGGTTCTGTTCTGATCTGCTTAACCCTCAATTCGTAGCCTCGTTTTGTTAATGTAGGGAACAGCTATATTCACACTCATAGGCGTGCGCATGGGGGGCACACCCTAATCCCCGCGGCACGCCTATGGATTGAGACCGGCAGGGGAGATCTCTGGATCTCCCCTGTCAGCTCATGCAGAGCTGGCGCTATCCAAGCGCCAGCTCTGCTCTAAGCCTCCATGGGCCAGTGGGGAGATCAAAGTTCTACCTCACTGGCCCACTGCCGCCATCGAAAAGAAGTGTCTGGCGGTGGTGTGGGCCCTTAAACAACTGCAGCCAAACATCTATGGCCAACAATTCACCTTACTCACGGATCACAACCCGTTGGTATGGCTTAACCGGGTCGCTGGAGACAACTCCAGGCTCTTACATTGGAGCCTGGCCTTACAGCCATACGACTTTTTCATTCATTATCAACCAAGGAAGCAAAATGGGAATGCCGACGGGTTATCACGACAAACAGAACTGGAGAAGTGATCCGTGAGTACACCCCCGGACATCCCCAAGCCGATCCGTAATGATCAGACTGTGTATGCCGGCTTGTGGTTAAGGGGGAGCTGTGTGGCGGAACATACCGATAATTTTGTATGTTTTATCTTTTATCCATTCGGGAGTTATGGTATCCGAACACTCTACATTCGACTCCCGAAAGAGGACCACCCTAGTACCCCATTAAAACATTCTCACATGGTAAATTAAGTGTGAAACCGCAAAGGAAGTAATTAATGAATGCTTCCCCTGGGTGGCAGCCATTTCATATAACCGAATGCACGTAGTCGGCAAAAGAGTGGCGGACATTTTGTCTCCCGAACATGGGCAGCAGCACTTGGTCATCGAGTGCCTGGAATTCTTTTCAGCTAGGGACTCGCACGAACCCCAGTACAGGTTATACTGCTGCCCGTGCTATTTCCCGACCAACTTGCGAACAACGTTTGGGAGATGGGAACTACCGACTGGGGGAGCATTCCTTACCCGAAATCAAGAGAATCTGAGGAGTGTGTCCCCAATTAACCACCCAGGAGCTGAGGTTTTGTAGTTAACCACAGCCTAATTGATCGTAGATGGGGTGGTCACCGTTCGTATGAGAGAGTCGAACGGGGTACCGAATTAAATGAGGAACCAACTACAGAACGACCGACCATCCTACCTGAGGCGTGTGCCCCTGGTTAACCACCCTGAAGCTGCGGTTTTGTGGTTAACCGCAACCCAATTGATCATCGACAGGGTGGTCATCGTTCGTTAACCCTCAATTCGTAGCCTCGTTTTGTTAATGTAGGGAACAGCTATCTTTTGTTGGCGGCCATCTTTTGTTGTCGAACGCCCAGTGGGACCTGGTCGTCAAACGCCTGGTACTCTTTTCGGACACCCAACGTCACTTCCTTACCCCATTTCTCCTGCACCACATGAAGATGATCTGCACCTACTGAAGATTCTGACAAGACCCAGTCTCCACCCTGACCTGGTGAAGGATCCAATATCCTTCCCTGAAAGAGCAATATGGAGCAGGGAAAATATCTCCACAAACTCCCATTTCCAGATCTTCTCCTTGACCTCCTGCATTAAGTATAAACCAAAAGTTTGGATGGGTCATGTGACATGTCAAAGTCCAGACCTCAACAAGACTTAAATTCTGTGGTGGGACTGTAAGAGAGTTGTGCATAAACAAAATGCCAGCAAACCTCCATGAACTGAAGCAAAATTACTCTACATCAAGGTGAGAGACTGATGGAGTCATACAAAAAATGATTATGTAGTTCTACAAGCTATTGAATCATTGTGACGGACCGCCTGGCACCCTAACCAGTTACCTCCGTCAAAAGCTGCTTCCTAGTACTTGCGAGCACCATAAGCACTGAGAGTAAACCACAGTAGAAATAAATACACAATCACATTGGCTCCCAGGTCCAGGACACTCCCATACAAAATCAGATAATCCCTTCTCTGTGCCTGGGAGATAATTGGATCAGGAACTGTACTAATCTAATCCAATTATCTCTAAACACAGAAAAAACATAAATATTTACAACTCCCAAAATACCTTAAAACACACAAAAGTTACATCCCCTGATGGCCCTGATCTGTGTGACCAACATATCCAAAAAGCACTCAGATCAGTTCAGGGGTTCAGGAATTTCCTGAAAATCTTATTGTTGACCAACTGTGCACATGTTCCTATGCCCAAACCAATTCCAGGGAATCAGGGCTAACGGTCAGTCTCTCTGTCTGGAGTACAAAAGTACATAACTCACATGAACAGAGCCTTTTAAAGTGCATTGGGCAAGGTATATTGCAGGGCCCATAGTCCTGAGGCAAGAAGCTGGCCAGCAGACCCCTCCAAGAACCCGTGATGAGGTTCAGTTTGTCACATTTCTTCCCCCCCAAGGTAAGACTAACCAGATACCTGACCTTCTGTCGGTCGGTACCTGAGTAAGTCAAGTAGCCTGTTATGGACAGAAATTAATGTAGGCAAAATGTCTATTTACTATGTATAACTGTATTCAGTATTTACTCAAAATGGCTGCTAGAGCAACCCCTCCCATCGACCAAACACCTTGTGTAACAAGATGGCCTCTCCAGGAAGTGGAGGAAGTGCATTAGATAAGACACTTAACACTTGACTAATTAAAGATGTTCTTTCTATGTTATCTCATGTTTTGCATATGATGTATTTTGTGCTTTATAAGGGGCTTGCCACCCCTTTAAGTAAACATTCCGAAGTTTTTCATTTACCTGAAACCTGTGTCTCAGTGTGATTTACTTCAGCGTGCACACACCTTATATCAAACAATCTTAACAGGGGCAGATATTCAAGCAAACACTTGGTTTGGTCTAAAACAATTTGGCGCCCAACATGGGGCGCCGGTTGTGACCGTTTTCCCAGTCAGCCGTCCTAGAAGCAGTGGCGTCTCTAGGATTCATTTTTCGGGGGGGCACATGGAGGGCCAGTGACAAAAGTAGGGGGGCACATTTAACCCCGCCCTCGCCGCAGTTTGACCCCGCCCCTGTCACATGTTAAGCCACGCCCCCGACACAATGTGTTTTTTTTTTTTTAATAATACCTGGTGGAGGATTCATGATTTTCCACCAGGGATTATTAAAAAAACAAACACATTATCCTTGATACAGTGCCATAGTTGCCAACATTTGAAAAAAAATTTCCAAGGACATTTTGCAGCACAGCTATCAATTACTGTCTGGGTATAATATCCCTGGACAGTCAGTGCTCTCTGTATAATACAGGGTTGTGTGTATAATAAATTGGGACACTCAGTGCTCCCTGTATAGTGCTGCTCTCTGTATAATCCCAAGACAGAGAGCAGCACCATACAGGAAGCACTGACTATCCCGGGATATTTTATACACACAGATCTGTATTATACAGATAGCTGAGCATATACCCCAATCTCTAGACTACTAGTACCTGTCAACAGCAGCTCCCAGACGCGTGTAACAGGGCTAAAGTGTGCGGCAGCTCACACAGATTATTCAGCGGTAAAGTGCACTCGCTGGCAGAGCCAAACTGGGAATCCCTGGGAATCCAAAGCAGCCCTGGAAAAAAAACGTATGCCATTCCTACAAGTCATATATATATATATATATATATATATATATATTACAGTAAGCACACAAGCTCACTGACATGCGCAAATAGGCTTACTGACAGACAAAACTCTCTGACTCACACACAAGCTTACTACAGACACTCACTTGTATAAACAGAAGGCTCACTACAAAGAAGTTCAGGGACACACACACAAGCTCACTAAAGACAAGCTCACTGACACACACATGCTCACTAAATAGAAGCTCACTGACACACACAAGCAGTACCATTTTAACAGAGTTAAGGGCCCCTGGGCAAAGCAATACACTGGGGCCCTTCCTACACAACAACTCACAGGAATTTTAATTATTGATAGACTGCTGAGTCCATACACACACACAGACTGCTGAGTCCATACACACACACACACACACACACACACACACACACTGCTGAGTCCATACACACACACACA